ATGTAATTTTCAAGTTTAATTATTTATATTAAAACCAATTTTAAGGGGATAAATACTAAAATCAATAATTATTTACATAAATTTTCCAAATCACAATTGCTAGTCTATTTAAAGAAATATACGCATCAATAAATCATCATAAGAAGGGTGGGTTGGTTCGACCTGTAGGCGGAGTTGCCGTCAGCCCCTTCTCGTCCCCGCTTCATTTCCTCATGATGGATTCCGACTTCCGCTACCGGCCGCCCGTCATGCACCGATCCGACGCCGCCGCCCAGCCAGACCGCGAGGTTTCTAACCTCCATCCTTCCTCGCCTGCTCCTCCTCTCTCATCCTCCGGTAAATGTCCTTTTTCTGCCGCTCTAAAAACCCTAGTAGCATGATTCGATTGATGATGAACTTTTGCTGATGGTCGGACATTATTGTTGTGATATTCACGCTTAATTGGTTGATTCTTCTTCGTTGTTGTGGCTGATTTCGTGTCGGATCGATTTCACTAAGAGAATAGTGCTTATAATTGATTTCTTTATAGAAATCGTTTCCCCGATATGAGACGTAACTCTGATTTCAATCATCCTCTTTGAAGGACTGTGAGGAAAGACGAAAGTTGTAAATTGGTATTGCCACTGATCGATCTGACTGCAATTGCAATGATAGGCCACCTGTCTGCGCGCACACGTGCGTGTGCATGCGTGCATGAGCGCGAGTTTATGTGTGCGCATGTGTGCATGCATATTATTCAAACAGACAGGGCATTCATAAGTTTGGAGAAAAAAAATTAAAAAGGAAAACTCAAAAGTTGTTTAATTAGTCATTTCGGTTGTATCAAAAGTTCCCAAATTTTTATAACTGTAAAATTAACGTAGTGTTAGAATTGTAAAATCTTGAGTTGATTTAGATTTCAATTATAGATTGTAAGTTTAGAATCATTTTAAGTGATGAGTGGTGTATATATGTATATATATATGTATGTATATATGTATATATGTATGTATATATATTTAGATTTCTATTATATATATATATATACATATATATATGTATACATATATATAATCTTGAGTTGATTTAGATTTATATTATATATATATATATATATATATATATATATATATATAGAGAGAGAGAGAGAGAGAGAGAGAGAGAGAGGTTACTCATGGGTGCGTAAGAGAGGGGTTAAGATTTGATTCACTAGACTATTTCATTAAGAGTTCTAGTTTTTTTATTAAAAAAATGTTTACTTAGGTTGTGAATTCCAAGGATCATATCTTCTTGATGAGATCCAATCTGGTAGCTCACTAATTGGGTTGATGGAATTCAATTATGTCCTTAATCGGCTCCGTTGGACACCATGTCAAAAGGTTTCGCACTAATTAAGTGCGCCTGAAACCTACATGAAAGGAGGTCAACGGAGTGGCTGAAGAACAAGACAGATTTCATTCATCCAACACAGCAGGGTGACCAAATGTGCTACTTTTGCTTCTTATTTAGAATTAAAAATTTACATCCATTGTCAGATAATCGTCATCATCTCACTGCAAGATATGCATAGCAACTATCAGAAAAAGAAATGTGTTTAGAATGTATATCCATCATCATAAAATGATATTCCTTTGTTCCACTTATTCTATTATTTCCTTTTTGTTTCTGGATGCTAATAGCATGTGCTTTCTTATAATTGGCTGTCACAGTGTTTCTACTGATCCAAAATCTTATACACATTGAAGCTACTGTTACCAATTAGATTATCCATATCTCTAACTTCAATTTTTTGCACACCTGGAATTGTTTCTGCCATCATTTCTGTTCTCTTGGAACATTAAAGATCATTGACAACAGATTTTACATCATTAAGAGTTTTTAATCTTTTGGCTTCAGGACTTGGTAGCAAAGCCAGAATATCAGCACCAGTGAGTAGTTTAAGTGTTTTGTGTATGCGTGTGCATTTTCTTTTCGGGAGGGTTTTCTGCATCATTAATTTTGCTTATACTGAGGTCGCTTTGTCAAAATGAATAAAATATTTGCCAACCTGCACAAATGTTGAGATCAATTGTAGTTTTTTCTTTTTAGAAAACTGAGCTTTTTTTAAGTAACTGGGACTGTATCAGTCCCCAAACAGAATTCTCCTCCGAGGCTCGATGAGAACAAAAATGCCCTGCCCGAATGGCAAGGTTGTGGGCTGCAAAATTCCCCTCCCCGTGTACATGTTCAAAGCACAAAACATTTAAACTCTTAGCCATCTGAAGTATATTATTACAAATATTTTTCAAATGCTATGGAAGGGGCTTAGATATGCTTTTGCCACAAATCATCACAGCTCCTAGACAATCAGATTTTATGGTGATATTAATCAAGCTTATCTGGGAAGCTTTCTTAAGTCCATCCCATATAGCCCAGCATTATGCCTGAAGACGTCTTGAAGCCTGGTGCACGTTGCTGCCCTCTAGAATGATAGTGACCTGTGAATCAGCAATGCAAAAATCAGTACCTGCATATACATCAGGATCAGTGAACAGAAAATAGTAAGGAAGAGAGATCCCTGTTCGGCTCAAGCAGTGAGGGGGTTGAGGAAGATCAATTGTAGTCGAATCTGTATTTTTTGAACAGCAGAGAAATCAAACAAGTAAATGAAATTATTTGATTAAAAGTAATTATGTAACCATATTAGTTTAGTAAATGGGCCTATTTGATTTCTCAGTTATCATGTTGTAATTACGTTATCAAGCCACCAAATTTAGTTTTGTATTCAAGCAACACACATCGGAAGTGGGCAAAAATTAAAATTGACTGATGGGTCTACTATTGTCAACCTAAGCATTTTGAGTCAGTGGTTCAGACTCAATGAAGTTAATATATCAATTATCCCATCGGGCCGACTAATGACAATTGATTTCAAAACCGACCTAGTATTATAAGTTAAAGTTCTTTCATATAAATTTCCTGTGTTGTTTTTCATTGATTAAAAATTTCACATCATTGCATTTTTCTACTAGTATTTGTATCTCTGATTAACAACCGACTTTACGGGCTCAATTAGCACCACAAATGCCAGAGGTTCCTCGAAGCAAGTTCCAATTTGATGTTGGGTTTGAGAGACAAATACTAGCTGTGAGGTTGAGAAAGAGAGTCAGAATTAGTGCAGAATGACATTGGAAAACCAGCTCTCAAAGTCTGCATCTGCATCATCTTCCTCCTCTTCATTGGTACAATAAGAACTTTGTTTGATGCTAAATATTATTTAGCTATGGATCTAAGGAATATCATTAAAATTGGTTATAAAATATTAAAATGATCTTTAATGGTATCGGATTATAAAAGTATTTTTTTTAATATGATCTCATCATGTTGCCGATATTTGCTTACACCTCCATGTTTATTTATGAATTTTTATTCTGAACATTGCCTTTTGTGGATATCATCATAAGAACCTGATAAGTGGTGCAATGGATGTGTTGTGATATACCTTGACCACTAGCATATTGATTATTATCCCCAGAACATTGGTTTCATTATGATTGCCTTATTTAACTCTTTTTCTGTGATGAAGGTTAAAAATATTGTACCCAAACCTTAATGTGGTTGGATCCCTTGTTGAACTGTTTTACGGTTTGTACCCATCCATTAATTGCTATTATTTTAGTCAACTTCTTAACCCACATTATATTTAACAAAGAGATCGAATTACTCATTTATTTGTGTAATTTTTTGAAGGCATCAGCAGGAGATCCAGTATAGATAGCCATGTTGCCTCAGGGCTTGGACCTGAAGCTGTATCACTTGCTGTATTGAATTATGGAGACAATCCAGTGAAGGTATGTCAATACAGTCTCCTTTACAATGTCTCTTCTCCAAAGTTAAACAGGAAATTGAGGAAGATTTTGTTTACATGGGCAAACAAATTTCTCACATCGAAATTCCATCATAATCTCCCATGCCCTATTTATTGTTCTTCATTGTGTCTGTGTTTCTTGTCCATGCTGCATTTCTCTCAAATCTGTTCTAGTGGTTGAGTACATAATCATCAGAGTGGTACATTGTTCAATTAAACCTAAACGTAGGAACTAAATACAGCAGATGGGTAGCTAGAGCTGACATCGGTAAGGTGTTTTACATGTTATGTTCAGGATGCATATATAAACTGAAATCATATTCTTCTTTATCCTTTTCAGGCGAGAGATTTTGTAAAAGGATATAGTATTCGCCATGAGATGGGATTCTCCTCAAAAAAAAATTGTGGCAGAGGCACTGGCTATGTACACTAATGATACTGACAAGGCTGTGGCACACTTTCTTAACGCCTCTCAGTGATACACGATACAGTCGAGATCATAATTCTCGTACTCAGTATCATGCAGAAAGCACAAATTTGCACTTGCAGTATATTATGACCATGTATCTTAAAGTTCTGGTCGACGTTCTGTTGTTCAATTGTGGTGTTGGTGTTGAGCTTTTAGGCTTTCCGACTTGTGGATTGTTTCCGATAACGTCGGTATATTTGATTATGAATTCAATCTAGCTAGGTTGGCAGTGTGATTGATTCGGCAACCAGTGACAGATATAGATTTGATCTCTTCGCCTATGCCACCGTTGGATATGTTTGTCCAACATGGAGAGGTAGACATAGCCGATTTGCCTCAGGTGATTTAATGCACTAACACAGTCTTTTTGTTTGTTTTTCTGTTGATGTGAGATTTCTTGTTGATGTGGAAGCATGACAACTAAGAGACATGTATAGCAGCTTCAGAGCTCCAAAGGTGCTGCTATTAGATTTATTGGATGAGAAGCTCTTCTGTTGCATCACCTGCCCCAAAAGTGCTTTTGTCAGACCACCTGTTGAAGGATTCGGATCTCCAGACAAGGAACGTGCATGGTGAAGATAAATCTTTCAGGTACATAAGCCAATTGTGATGATTAAGAACACAATTTTTCATTTAGAACCGAACTCTCAAAATCATTATATTCAGTAAGGAAATAAAGAAACTTTTGTACACTGTGGATCTTATTCTATTGGTAAACTGACCTCAGGGTTCTCTATTTTGCAGGGACATGTATGTAATTTGCCAAAAGGAATAAAATCTACCAACTTCGAGGAAGCTACGAGCATCGAGATCGGACTCAGAACAGCCTATCTCAAAGCCCAATCATAAATCAGAGTGCAACAGTCATATAGGCATTCGATACATGATCATATTAAATAGTCTTATTCATGGGGAAGCCACGATGAGGTTGACAAGGTTGGCTTGGACGTGGAGTGCGCAACATGGTCAGTTCCCCCCTTCTCTCTCCCTCTCTTTCTTTGGCTTTTTGCGTTGAAATGACTATTGGCAGAGGCTTCACCGAGAATCTGATATGATCCAAAAGCGTAGAGATCAAAGCAGGAAAAGAACTGCTGCTTTTCTCAACGAGTCTCCCCCGCCATTGATGGTCTGATGTGATCTTAAGAAGAACACCTCGTCCTTTCCCTGTGAAGGCTAGTGCATAGCTGCGCCCTCAACCGTGTAAGTTATTGTCCCCTTCGTTCTTCATCTTGCACGCAACCTTTGGCTAAACCGGACGACGATTGACGGGTGATCGGACCGGCTGAGGGTTTGGCCGTGGCCGGAGTGCGAAGGGGTACGTGGAAATACGAGCTCAGACTTGGTTTTCCGAGCTGTGTGACCTTTGGACGCAACAGTGAGAAGGCTGTTGATGCGTGTCAGGTCTGTTTCCTGCCGGATTCTAACTAGTGTATCACCACGAGAGAGAGAGAGAGAGAGAGAGAGAGAGATATATATATATATATATATATATATATATATATATATATATATATATATATATATATATATGTAGGTGATTGTTCGAAAAAATATTTTTCTTTTTGAGTTTTTTCAGATGATAACTTTTTAAAAATTTTTAAACCACCATCTCTAATTTTAACAAATTTAAAAATACCCCCACAATTATTCATATTGTTTTTCCATACAAATTCAAAGTCTTTTTTCGTCAACTTAGATTATTTTTATCCATAAATATTGTCTATATTGTGTTTTTTTTCAAAAATACTGGGACATTAAAAATACTATATGATGTTTTTAAAATAAAATAGTATACAGGATTTTATGTATAAAAATCAATCCACAAAACACTAAACAATTGTTGTAAAAAATTTTGGATTTAAGCGGAAGATGTGATACATTTTTAACGAATATTTTTGAAATATTAGAAATAAGGGGTGATGGTTTTTTTTTTTTTCTTTAGTACCATTCAGAAAAAATCCAAAAGAGAATATATATATATATATATATATATATATATATATATTCTGATCTACTGAACATGTACGGAACATGATGGTTAAGATACAAACAAAATTCGAAATCACCCTAATTTGATACATGATTCAGGCCCAAAAATATCATTAAAGTTCATATAAAGTTTAGTATAATAAGTAGGAGGTCTAGCCAATGATTATTCTATAACATGATTATTCTTTGGCTTTATAGCCTCTGAAAGCTAATAGAAAGATCACTCATGATGGATTATCGAGGGGAATGAATAGTAGCATTTAAGATTGGATGATAAGATGATGGGTGAACTATTTATTTAGGTCACAGCAAGATTAGGCTGATACAGCGTCAAAAGTGTCGCCATGTCATTGATAGGAAATATTCCCCGTGCCACCCACCCCATTGCATTGCCACTTGGCATCGGTGTTGTTGGATGCATCAGTGGTTTTAGTAGGGGGTGGGATCCGACACCCCAGCGTGGAAGAGAACATAGACAACTATTAAACCTGTGACGACGAGCACAGGAGGAACCGATGCTCCCAGCCAACAACTGTGGCAGACAGGTGGAATCAAAGTGAGCTGCAAACTCGGAAGACGACTGATCCTCTCATGCTCGTCCACGTTAATCTTTTTCAGTAAAATCCAGTAGCATCACCTGAACCAACGTGGAACAGTTTCGCCACTTGTCTCGATTTGTCTCTTCGTCGATCCTTTCTCCGATCGACGGTGCCGGCAATGATAGAAATGGATTTCACCGGTCTGCCTGCCCTTCATACTCATTCAATTATTTTCTATTAAATAATATTTATTATATGTGGATACAACAAAACCATATAGTCACTATGGAATGCCCATATCTAAATAAATTGAATTATATTCATTATTATTTGTAAAGCAAGGAATAATAAATGGCTAAGAAAAAAGAAGAAAACATTAAGGACTAATGATGATTTGAGATTTTGAATCCAAAGTTGTAGCATTCTCTCCCTCTCGGAATTGCAGTGAGAATTTATAGGCCATCAAAGAAATGTAAGCATCGTGTATTTTATGGTGCTATTTTATTGCCCGATGTGATGTCAACCAAATTCTTAGCTATTTAAAGAGCTCCGCCCATGTCTTGCGACTCGACACATCGCCACGGTGGAGCAATGTGAGCTGCTGGGGAAAAGGTCTCTTGTCTCGTGTCCCTGTCTCCACCGTTCTCCTCCCCCCTTCCCACCCCTTTACTGGTCTTGCAACTTGCAGCTTTCTTCACCGACAGTGGTTGTGGCCCTGCACTTCCATCCTCTTTAGGTTCCCATCGCTTCTTCTCTTGTGAAGTTGGTTCCCTCCCTGGATTCTGTGGTTGCCATGGGATCTGCAAAGAGAGCTTCCTTCAGTCCACTCTTGGGTGGCCATGGGATGTGATTAGCTGCCGACTCATTCATCCACATGCCCGGTAAAAGGGACGATGGCTTTGCCGGGCACATGAGTGAATGATGCGGGAGGTGAGTCGGATCCCATGCTGCCTTTGCTTGGACTGAAGGGAGCTCCCTTCTCTACTACCCCCCATTCCCCCTCCCCTTGCAGCAACGAAACTGGTTATCCATCGGTTGACTTGCTGTGTTTGATGTTACTTGATCTCTTTTAGGAGAAGGTTTGGTGTAAGTCGATGATCTATTTATCGGTGGATCTTTTGATAGACAGCCACACCTTTTGTAGATGGTATTTTCACTACTTATTAGGATGTTCACAATCCAAACGATGAAAGTTTTAGGAAGCATTTTGTAGTTTAGGGTTCCAAGTATTTTCTGAAACCAAACAGTTGGCTTGCCATAGACCTAAAAGGACTTTGGTTTCCTTCACAAACAATGACTATTCCAGCTCTGGGAATACAAGTAGCGAGTGATGAGTTCATCCAATTGTTCCAGTATAGATCAGGGATTCATATTTCTATTGTTGAAATTGTTTTTGACATCAATATGGAGCTCGATGTGGTCCTTGTGTTCTGTGGCAACCATCGACTATATTGTGATTCACATACAGTCCTTTTTCATGCAGGCTATCTTCTCTCTCTCTCTCTCTCTCTCTCTCTCTCTCTCTATGGTGCATGTAAAAAACCCTAGGACCACCAGCTTAATTGGAACACAAGGATCATTTGAGCTTTCTCTTTATTGCTTCAAGTTCTTGTAGCTCTGCCATGAGAGTTGTGTGTTCAGGATAACATGTGTTCTTCGATGCAGATTTAGTCCATGAGTTATCTTCAACAAAAAATCATCATTATGCACTAAGAATGAATATATTATATATATGTGCATAATATATATTAATCATTCTTGTTGGGAGTTTTAGCTTTTCTTGCTAGAAATAAAGACAACCGCACACCATCTGCATGTGAATTTTGTTTCTCTTGTGTTCTTGGCCTTTAAGATTGCGAGGATGTATTCTACTTTCAAGTTGTCTAACTCACACTCGTAAATTATTTCTATAGATATTCCTGCTTTGTTGTCTCTATTCCCGAGTTTCATGGATTGTCATGTCTACATTTTTGGATGAAGGTAAGTAAATGGTTAGATCACTGCAACCCCATTCTATCTCCATATTGTTTATGAAAAGCCTATTTTTCGGAACCTCTCCATGTATTTGCCAAAGAGGAAGGACGCCTCTGCTATGTATGTCCTCACGGAAAGCTTTGTATAAGGATAGATGAGCTTGACATATAATGAGTGCATTCATTACGCACGGCCGCAATTGTCGAACGCCCTTTGATGAATGCATTTGGTCAGTAATTCTTCCTTGTTTCTGTTTGTGAAGTGAAAGTGCTTCTTCGATCCTCACTCGACTGTATTACTCCTATGCAGAAGGAACTCTTTGTGGTACCGACCACTTCTCACCCGAGTTTGCTTCTCAAGTCTACTCCTTGATCTAGTGTTAGATTTCTGGTTCCTCGTATCTATTACACCTTCACTTCAG